CGGGATGTCGGCCTGCCCACCCCTTGAAAACGAGGCCCCTCTGCCGTATTGAATATCATCAAGACCAACACAGAGAAGTGCTTCCATCACATGGCACAAGGTTTGATATGATTATAAGTAAGCAAGGCTATCAGACTGCTTCCGTAACCCGGCCATGATCCACGTGAGTCAATCTCGCCAATCCTCCGAGCCTATCCAAGTAATTCCTTCCTATAGTAGTGAAAACAAGTCGTAGAGGCCAGACTGAGGCACAAATAGGACAAAGGCCATGGTGTGGGGGTAAAAAAGATCAGGGTGATGATAGCCACCCGTGACCATAATACTCCGTTCCGGACTGTCCCGGACCTATGGACCTAAGTATATATGTCCGGGTTTTTCCCAGTCAGTCCTTCAGTACCGAATCCGGGACCGTACACATACAGCTGTCGAAAAAATCGCAGCAAGTTTTGCGATTTTTCGCCTTCAGAATTCTTGTTTATGTGCCAAACAGAGTCTGGCTCGATTCGGTATAGTTGTGGGCTACGCATCGGTGCTAAGTCTGCCAGGCCTACTCTTGGAAGTTTGATCAGTGACCTCAACCTTCAGTGCTTCAGCAGGACCCGTCTTGTTCTATGACAACAGTCAAGATCCAATGCGTGTTCTACTGGGGGCCGGTGCTGGTGCATCGCTATGTGACTTGGCTCATCGTGATCAACCTTTGGGTGCATCCGCCACCGCGTGTCTCGCGACTATACCAAAATATAGCTAGACTCGTTTTGGCATATAAACAAGAATTCTGAACACAAAAAATCACAAAACTTTCTACGATTTTTTCGACAGCTGTAACCCAAATACAACTGAGCCAAGCTTTCCGACTCCACAAGTTCTGGGGTCCCTGAGATTGTTCCGTCTTGGCCTCCTGGACGGTTCTGACTTGGTAGTCCGTCTCTTCCGCACATCTCAAACATCATTTGCACCGCCGTCAGTAAACTTGTTATGTAGCGCACGGCACGGGTGTACGACGCTTCCAAGTTCTCCTAGGACACTTCAAGGTTTTGGAGGACGAATCAGGGCCGTTCAAAACATCGCTTAAATGTTCCAGACTTCAGACTTTCATGGATTAGGAGGGACTCTCAAACACGTTCTCGTCCTCCAAACATGATTTCTTTGGGAGCCACATCCATCAGAAGATTTGCTGCTACTCGCCTCACTTCATGATTTGGGGCCGCCAGTCTTGATGCATATCATTCAATCCTAGACTAGACAGATCTCGCTGTTTTCAGTGTTCCTACTTTCTATTTCTGACCGTCCCCCTCCCCTTCCTGAGGCCGGTACCAACCTTTTTCAGGATCAATCTAGGTCTCTCATCCCTACGCGGCACAGCCGCCTTTCGGTCCTAGTGTCATTTATAGAACCCACTATGAAGAAGTACACTCACCACTTCCTTGATTCAATAACCACTAGTTGCTTCTATTCACTCTACATGGATACGTCCACACCGGTTAGCCCTGACGACCAAGCTCTGGTCTTTGACGGACTAGGAAGATTCTTTGTTGTCAGCATCGTCGGTGCAATTTCAGAAACTGGTCTATGGACAGTCTATCTGGTGTTATTCTCTAGCTCGATGCGTTTACAAATGTTTGTTTCCCTCTCTTGATATGCTGGGCTCTACGTCTGTATTTTTCATTTATTAATTCCTTTTGCCTAACTGCAGATCTCGTAAACGACTCCGCAGTCCAGCCAACGTCCTCCTCCTCCTCTTAACTGTTGCCCTCTTCTCAACCTCAACGGCGCTCTGGGCAATGAACGTATCACAGCTGACTATCGCCACGAAAGGCTTCTTTCTCAACTATCCGACACGTGGGCTTTTGGATAGATGGCTGGCCTTGATCGATGATATCGAGCCGTTTGGAACCCCCATGGAGGCTTTATTCCTCACAAATGTGATGCTTGAGCTTCTAATTCGAATGTGCACTGACTCAAGATTCATGCCATTCATTATTCAGATGGTTTTGGGAGACTCGGTGGTAATTTGGCGCGCTTGGGTTCTTTGCCGGGATACCCGTCTGCGGAGACTAGTTTACATCCCGATGATGATGCTCCTCATTGGCTTCAGTAAGTCGCTTTCCAAAATCTTGATTTTTGGTTTGGGACCCGAGATTCACTGGTTATAATTCAGCGTTTATGGTGATTGCCTTGGAATGTTTGTCGAACAACGGGTACCATGATGGAGGCGACACAGGCCAAAGTTCTATGGCGGTTGGGTCGGAAGTGTGCCAGAGGGGGGAACCGATAGCCTGGGGGATATCTTTGGCGACGAATTTTGTGTCGACGTGTCTCATCGCGGTCAGAGCCTGGTACGCAATCCTGGAAACCCACTGCTTTTGTGTCCTCAACTGCTCTTTCTATCTGTTATAGGGAGCACCGTCAATTTTTAAGGAAGAGTGCCGTGGTGCGGGGAACATTGGTTGAGAAGATTCTCATCATATTGACGGAATCCGGGTTTATCTATTGTCTGTTCTGGGTGTGTAATACTAAGGAAGCCCTAACGTTATTTGTTTCTGTGGCAACTAATGTCTCCGTCACCAGCTCACGCAACTGAGCCTGTTCTTCCAGAAATCCACAGATCTGCGGTTCGTCAGCTTCCTCCAAGTTTTCCTCGCTGCCCTAGGGGATCAGATCTCTGTATGTTCACATTCACATTCGGCACTACTTACCTGGCGTTACTCTAACTTGAATATCCACGCAGGGATTATATCCGACATTGATTATCATTTTCGTTGACAAACAAAAGAGTATCTCCCAGTTTGACAGCAAGGCCCGGATGTCTTCTGTCTCTGGAGCCCGTAACGATGTAACAATGTCCACTGGGGTATTGTCGACGATTGAGTTCACACCGACGGCTGCTGAGGTATACTCCGTCACAAATGAGGGTGCGATTGGGCAAGACGCGTCGTTTTACAGCGGAAGTGGGGCGGAGACAAAAGTTTGATTAATACCGGATAGCCTTATTTCCACAATCTTGGGAATTCTAAACCAATAAGAAGTGTATCGATCACCGAGATACTCATATGTATTTACTAACAACTTGCCCTTAAAAGCGAGGTGGTACCCGAGATGCAAAATTATCTATGTGCTAAAGTCTCGGAGAGTCGGCTTGAGGTTCTTGAGACTATAGGCGCCCAACATCGTACCAGATTCGAGTGTGTACTAAGATGTGATGTGTGTAACTAGCCAGATACGGTAGTAATGCTACTGGCTGTCAGGAATTCGAAAATCGTAGGTCTTTTCATTGAACGATGTTGCATTGTACCCAAGTTCAGCTTCAGTTGTCACTCGAATTAGAGCTGCACAAAGCTTGGACTCGATTCTTGGACCCCGTGTGACTCTAGCGAGCCAGCGATTCACAAGGATAGTTTGGCTCTAGAAATAAAGAGGCTATAGTGACCGCCCTTCAAATTGGTCTGTACGTCTGGCGCCTAACACCCATCCCTCAACGAGAGTCCCTCATTAATGACACGAGTCAGAAGGGTAAGATGTGGCTTCAGCTAGCCGATAATGACCTTCGAGTTTAGTTTGACCTCAGAAATAGAGGCTAAAACGACTGCCCCTGAAGATGGTCTGTGCATTTCGCTTCTTCGATTCCGATTGCGAGTTGGGAAGATGGAGAATCTTCTCACCCTCTCTTCCCACCCTCTCTTCCCACCTTTTATTCCCCAACTCCATCATGTTATACAAATGTTTAGGTCTGGTTGAGCGTTAATGTATGGGAGAAGGCAAAACAATGACTGTGTGGGAGAACGTACCCAGTGTTGAACTGCTTGCGTCGTTCTAGGCGTCTAGGAGGGATCCCTTCAATCCCTCCATCGTGCACACAGTCGGCCCTCGGTACGTCCCTAGTCTTTCCAATCGATCTTCCACCCAAATTTACTATAGATACAGTACTCGCTGCAGGTCCACGTTTCTATAATCAATGGCAAACGTCTGTGCAAAATCAAAACAATGATTCCGATGGACGCTCTGGCCGAGCGAAAAAGGTTGAGATTCACCAAACTTCTCCGATAGGTGGAGGCGTCGGTGGTCCTCCTGGATTGTTCTTGGCGTACCGCGTTCAAGTTCGCGGGCATCCCTTTATGACCTTAGCGGACCTACCTTTGAGCGTAGGCATCGGTACGCCTCTGATTGCGCTCAATATGTTTTATTATTGGACTTGACTCGACTCGATGCGTAGTCTTCCGCTTCAAGGACGGCGTTGATTCAAACTCTGGACTATATTTAAGGAGCGCCAAAGTACGGGTCATGCGGCGATTGAGGTGGTGATTAGGTTGATGGGGATGCTGTATCCTGGTACGTCTCTCACCGCTTGTTGTCCTTTCTAACTGACCGTGTTCTGGACGCTTCTAGCCCTCAAGGACAAGGACGGCGTTAGAGAAGGCGTGACTATGGGTTTCAATCCACCCTGATCCATAAGATCAGCTCTTTATCGGTGATGACAGTCAATATCCAACATTTCTTCCGTGTTGCTCATAGGGGAGAGGATCCTCGAAAGCTTCTCGGGTATTTCTCGGTGGGCCATTGAACCTTTCGCCGTCGTCACTACCGTCGAATCTCGCTGCTTTGCCATTCATTCAATTGGATACCTAGGTTTCTGCTGACTTCCCTCTCTTGGGGGCTGACCTCTGAAATTTTATGTCGCTTGCGTTCCACAAACTCATGCTGCTGTTTTGATTTTTTGTACCTTCAACTTTGATGTCGCGTTATATAGCTCCAAAGTCCGATTTTCATTGTTCGTCTATTCTATGTCCCCCCCCCCCCCAAACTCTGGTCGTACCGTACCTACACGTATGTCCTATTTGTTTGCATTCAGATTATCGACCTGCAAATTGAAATGCATTCCACTCGGGCTTCGGTGAGGATAGAACCCTTTGAGAACCCGACTATTTGAGGGTAGTGCAAAGAGCTATCAGAGGGGTATCTGCAAACAAGAAAAGGAAAAGGATTCCTTGATATTTACGGAGCAGTTCCGTTACAGGGAATCAAACCCTGGGTTATCGCGCTTTCAGCAGATTTTTCCATGAGGCGATAATGTTAGCCACCACACCATAACGGACGTAGTAAGTATCAAGGGTAATATCCGGCTGTACGCATGAGTTCCCGGATCACTTATGGGTCTCGGCTTCATCGTTCTGGATTCCTGCAATACTGTGTGCGAGATATCGTAGATGTGTATATTAGAGTCCTGTGTGGTTCTCGGAGTCACTGAGGGAGACTCTGGGATTCATGCTCGGCGGGCCTGATCAACAAGCGACAAGCGACGCCCTAAAAGAATGATTCGACCCATGCTCGAACTGGGGATCTTCTGTGCAACAAATGGACAGCACAGCAGACTGTGTTATGAATGTTAGACAGATGCGATAACCAACTACGCCATCGAACCAGGCGTACTGCATTGTGGATTAAGCATCTATATGTACGAGTTCGAGCTCATTTTCTTCCGTATGATTTTGGGCACGGCCTTGCTTCTACGAGTGTGACCTCTATTCGTTCGTGTGGGATATTACCTCTTTGGCAATAAAATACAAATTCCGATGGTATTCTCAATTGATCTTGATAACACAGGAGGTCCTCAATGAACAATGATTGGACCACACGATATGTTGGTCAACGCAAGAAAAGGACGGGACAAGAACTGGCATCTTCTGGTATTGCATCAAGAGGGAATCAAACCCCAGGCGGGTCGATATTCTCGCAATGGCAACGACCCAGGTTACCACTACCCCATTGGTGCTCCTGACAGGTATGACCGATGCAGCTCTACAACTCGGTTATGCGAGATGATGATTGTCCAGTTCCAAAAAGATTGATGTTGAAAGAGATAACGGTATGCCAAACTGTGCACTGAAGCAACTGTTCTGATTCGGCCATGTTGAATCTGTGGACTATAATTAGATCCCGGTTTATCCAAAGTCCCGGTTCATACTTTCCGCCATTGTATTATGCGGGACAATGCATTCGCTATTGTTCCATTTGTCTATTGTTCACTATGCTCATATGTACAATTTCTATTGTCCTCCTTATATGGTAGTTCTATTGTATCTTCATGTACATAAGCTCATAGTTCTCTACCTGAATCGATAGTGTGCTTGAGCTTCTACGTCTCGCCTCTACCTCTCTCAACTCCTCTCTGGTCAGTAGTAGTGTAGCCATGGAAATCGAGGCCAGGTTTCCTCAAAAACCGGGCAAAATACTTGAGTTTTATCCTTACCTCATACTTACCTTATTACAATGCGCTGTACTTGAGAGAACCTTGAGCAACGCAGTTGAGTCGGACTTGAGGGAGTGAACGAGGTGCCTCAATGTCGACCTTGAGGGAGTAAACGAGCTGACTCAAGCTGTGTTCAACGATACTTCAAGATTCGTCTCAAGTCAGGTCGGGCAAACACACATGAAAGGGTAGAACGGTATAAATTGTATAAGTTGTGCGAATACATAGGAGCGGCGAGTACACCATGTAGTGAGGGCCACCATTGTTCGATGTGAGCACCGTACGACATGCAGGGCTTATGAGGTCAAGTGCTGACTTTGGGTTGGGCCGATTTCTGGCCAGGACAACATATTCGTTGACTGCGGAGAGGTTGTAAGTAGCTGAACCAGACAGACAGAGAGGGAACATGTACCAATAGGCGACTTGGCAGCGAGTGCGTATCCTGCGTTGTTTTTTTCCCCCCTTTCTACGCTACATTTCAGTGAGATACAGAGTGGAGGAGAGGGCCGGTTCATACATTACGGTGCTTCTAAATTATACATTGTGTTAGAGCCGCTGCTATATTGATAGGTGTTCCGTTTAACTTGAACCATTCATCATGTTCTGTCCCACCTGTCCAAGTTTCTACGGATATCCACCATGTTTTTGATACTCTTCCCCATACGAGTGCGCATCGCGTCAGTCAAGACATTAAATTCCTTGTATACAAAAAGGATTTCGAGTTTACGACAGGTGCTCTGAATTGCGTTTACGGTGTCGTAGGCGTGACTCGTGCGCAATGTGCCTTCCTGGTCACCGAGCTGAGTTGTGCCATATGACGAACATTCTTCGTTTGTCATGTCAGATGGCAGCCCCAAGATGAAACCTTCCACGTCCTCGGACTGTCCCTCTTTGAAGTGGTCAGGAAGGCAGGGCGTGACTATAGTCTGTCGTTTGTGGAAATCATTCAAGACCTCCACTAAACGATTCTGAAGGTCTTCGATAGTGGTGGTTTCCATCTGGGTGAGGTGAGGTTTTTGTTTCAGGACGATTATCTGCTCTGTGATGATTCTGTCAGTCAAAATGTGAACGCAATGAAGGACAGATGTTGACATACTGTATGTCCTCTGCTTCGAATGCTTTCTGCCAATAAGCCTCGATATCCAACCCAATTTTCGGTATAGCAAAGGATATACCCCCACCATCCGCATGTGCTATGTCCTCCAACAAGCTGGCAACAGTGGGAGCTTTTGCACCCTCCGGTTGGTGATGCGGGTCAATCCACAATCCATTCTTCTCCTTAGGCACCATGTCCTGGCGAGACCACTTGGCGACGCTGTCCTCGTGGACCAACAACAACTGCTGAAATTCGGACATGTGGTCTTCAAATTGCGCCGCTGCGATCACAAGTTCTCGGGCTGTCAAGTACGCTGCAAAAGAAAACGGTCAGTGCCCAGTACAGCATGTCAAAGGTGTTCTCTACCCAAAATGATCACTTTCTTGCGATTATGGTCGTTGTAGTAGGTGATGTGGAGGTCGTGACGATGACCAGGGCCTGCCTGACAGCTAAAAGTAGCGACCTTGTTCAGAAATGGCCATGCTTGTTCCGCTTCCTCCCCAGTGAAATGCCCGTTGCACCACTGATAGAAGAGCACGAATATGACCTTGCAGATGTGAACCTTGTGCCCTGTGAGGTTAAGGACAGGTATTCCTTGTTCGAGACGGTTGACAAATTCACGTTGACGGGAAAGATACTTGAATGTTGCAAACCGAACAAGTACGGCGTAAGCGCACTTGGCGTCGTAAGATTGTTTGTGGGGAACGAGGTTGCGATGAGATTTGGATGACTTGATCTTCTTGTCTTCATACCCATAAAGTGTGTAGCCGCGGCTGAAGGCCGCATCGACGTTTGCTTGGCTGGCAGACATGTGAGCCACCTGAAGATGTTTGTGTCAAGATAAACTCACTTTTTGGACCCATATATGTCAGTCACGCCCATGATGAAGACGTGGCTGCACTGATGGTTTACTGTGCCTGTCACAGCCATTCCATGCACAGCTAGTTCTGTCAGCTTCGTCATGGCCTTCACATTATCGCAATCGGGTACTGGCTCCTAGATCGGCAAACAAATGTTAGGAGTGACTCATTGACAGACAACGACGAGACTTACAATGAACTTTGTCTTGCCAGCCTCCGTGAGGAACTTGGCATATTTCCTGTCATCAGCGAAGTACAATCGTCCACAATACAGGGAATGGTCCTTTCCACTACCTCTCTTCCGGAATTGCCTGGTCTTCAAGTTCCCATCGAGGGTAGTGTACATCATGTTGAGGTGCCTCAGATGTTGTGGTGTCTCCTCCCAGCCATCCCCCATGTTCATGTCGGGATCTGGGCACAAAGGGCATCGGGTACAAAGGTGCCAGCTGGAAGGTGTGGAAGAGTCCAAGGTATGAGAGAGAAGAACTCCCCGTATCGTAGTCTGTCGTGGATAAACTGCCACACTCGGACAGCGAGCATAAACAGCGTGTAAGGATCCTGGACCAAGTGGGTATGCGTGTTGTCGGTCAACCTTTGAAGGGCAAAAATTCAGTCATAGGCAGGGAGTTGGCCTTGTAGGGCCTGTATATTATACTCCTTCAGCATAGTGAAGGCGTAGGCCATTTCAGGTTCGCGAGCTGAGGAGGGAAACAACCTCGATCGCATTAGCTGCTGCACTCTCTTTGTACTGCCACAGTTGCAGAATGACAGAGAAGTGCCATGAACCCTGTTTGAGTGGACGACTGTGAACTTCACTCCGATTGGCTTGTTGAGAACAGGGCACAGATGACCGTGATGGCCGAGCTGGACAGCAAAATCCTCTTGGAGGGTACTGATATTGGAGTGCTCGAAGAAGCTCCCATTCTATACTCTTGCCCAATGCCAAGGGTTGGGGCGGTGTGCAAGATCCAACAATCCTTGCAGCATATCTCGAAATCTTGGCAATCCTGGCACTGGACGATGCGCTCACCGGTTCCGCATGAGCAAGGGAGATTGAGATTGGAGTCATATTCGTGTAAGAGGAGCCAGGTGGTAAGTTCACTGACGATGGCTTCAAAGTCTTTCAGAGTCTCTGAAGACTGAAAAAATGCTCAATGTCAGGAGTCTGAAGCCATGAAAGTATTGCGAAGACTTACCCCCTGCTGACCGACTCTCGGCTGCCTCATCACCGTCAGCATCTTCCTCTTTCTTCATCTCTCTGTCGTCAATGACCGGTTTTCCTGACATGGATGGACCTGCAAGAGGTTGGGCTTGGCCCCGGACACTAAATGCGGGGAGCCCAGAGGGGTCCTGAGCTATTGTGGTGACTGTGTTCCCCAGTTGAGCTCTCTTCGCAATGGGCGGCTTCGCAATGTTAGATTGAGGTAGGTCAGTGATGGTCAGTTTGCACTTTTCAGTCATGGTGCAAGGTTGAGAGGTGGATGTGTGGGCAGGATTGAAGCTTGGTTAAATGCAAGTGAGTAGGCCCAACGTGTTACAAACTGCCACTATTCTTTTGTCCTGTCCACCCTGGTGCCGGCCCTACTTAGTTGAATTACACGCTATATACACGCCTTATGACCTCACTAACCCTAGGACCTATTGTACTATACAACCCTTGACCTCCGATCTGTACTATGTCATGCACAGTAGTTAATCTCCACTTTTACGATCTTACTTACTCATTTCTCATGCCCTATGCCTCTATCTTCATTTCGTCATATGTACTTACAGATTAGATATCTGGACTCCGTAGTTCACCCTACAGTATATAAGTTCTCTCTCTCGTCCTGCATAATCATCATTCTACTTTCTCTCTTCTACGTTGAGCCCTAGCTCCGATTTACTCTTCACTACTCGTCAACTCCGCTCTTCCGGTAAACTCGATACTCTTCACCGTTACTCGCGACTTACTTCCCCGGATCTTGCCATTTACCATCACCAGAGTCATTCCAATCAATTCTCCCATCGACATAGCGTTGGCACCTGTCATCCTCATTTACTTATTGAGCCATATCGGTTATTTTGGTCTTTCATCATGGAACAATCATCTTTTGATCTCTTTCTCATACAGTCACCCAAAAAACTGGCCAAATGTTGGGGTACCCCATAAAGAATGGCCCATATCTCCACCATGGAGCATAATTACCTAATACTCTAGATACACAAAATGGACCCTGAAAGCACCACTTTCAGGTGCAGTTTACCCCATTGGATTATCAGCTCCCAGTGTGGAGATATTCCACATTCAAGTCAAAATTGCATTTGGCCAGTTTTTTGACAGGGGGGTCAAAATCAGTGATGTTGAGGAGTAATTCTATTGTGTTGTAAGATACAACATCAGTATGACTTTAGACTTTTGACAGCATCATCTATGATGTCTTGAGTGACATCATGTACTCCACTGGACATTATAAAAGGCTTGAGCATCCTTGAGATGGGGCACCAACATGCACCCTGTCTCTAAAGCTAAACAAAAGCTTATCCTGGAACTTGCTGCAGATCCCAGCCTTTCTGCCAGGGATATT